GGCACCAAAGCCGTAGGCAGTGGGTTCGACCTCCGGTTTGGAAATTGCCTAGACTTCCTCGAGAATAGAGTTTCATTGTGCTTGCCACACAATTTTCCAATTAATACATTGCCCATACAAGCATAACAGTCCCATGTGAACAGGAAATCAAGCAAAGTAGTCACATCTTTGCTTGATTCACTATTCAAATGGGACTGTTATGCATTTATTAGTAGTAAACTGTCGGTGTTCGCATGTCCGACCGATAGCGAAAATCAGCAAACCGAGAAAATCGCATTTTAAGTTTGCTTCGTACCATTGCTTCTTATGTGATGGGATGGGACAACCAATTTGACTGTCATTCCAAACTTTGTCAGAATAAAATGTTTGAGTTCATGCAGTATTATGAAAATATGGGTAATTAGGTACCATTTGCATTGAGAAACTCAATTTTGACAAAAACGGCTATGGAACCAACATGCAAAGAGCGGCAGTAAAGCTCACAATTAAAAACTGTGAAAGTTCATCACTGAGCCGGCAAAACGCTCGCAAAAGAAGCGTAAAAAGTCTAGAAAAATACTTGTTCCGTATGGTCTCGACGAAGTGGCCAAGGCCAGAATATAGCTTGAACCAAAATTTGCCATGCAACACATCAATTCACATAAGCTTTCAAACAGCAGCTCAATGGTCACATCCGGACATATGTTCCGGATGTATCCAGGAAAGTGACCAAAACAGAACTTGAGCGAAAAATTGCCATGGAAACACATACAATCGAATCAGAGTTCTGAGGAAATGACCCTTCGCTCAATTTCAACTTATGTTCAAATTTTCACTAGCCTCTTCAGAACTTGCTCTAGCTAATAAATTATCGCACTAAAGCTTCATTTCGATATTAGTATAGCATTTCCTCCCTACTCTGTATGCGTAAACTTCACGTATGAAATAACATACTTGAATGAATCGAATCAGTTTTCGAAAAGTCATAACCCATCTTTCATGTGATGGTGATCCATAAGATGTCTGAACTTTACTCATAAGGCATTGGTCATTAAATTGAACCAAAATTTGCTCCTCCAGACTTAGCCCGCTAGGCCTCCACAGATGTCTCTTAAGTTTTAAGTCATAAAATCATAAATGAGTAACTCATGAAATCTTATAAAATCACATAAGCTTTCTAAGCTTCATCCAAATGATAGCTGGAGTTACTCATAAAGAAATCCAAACTTAAGCTGTTGTGCTTCAGTTAATTCATAATATCATATAAACACATTTTGATTCTGTTCCTCCAGCAGAATAACTTCAAGAAATTTGATACTCTGATGGCGGTAAGCTCCAACTCGGATTAACTTTTAATACTGTCCCTGTTTGGATGATCTGCGATGTGTTTGCATAGCATCGTGTTGAATAACTCTGATGTCGACATCAAAGCAGCCGGACATTCTTGATCGGGATTTAATCCGAGGATAATACCGATTGGAGCTTACCGCCATGAAAGTGCAAGCCATAAAGGGAAAACCGCTCACTCTCACGCTTTCTCATACAAATGCTAAAACTAGGGGCAAGACAGCTTTTGATCATGAGTTAAAACCGAGTTGATTTTGAGTAATTTTGAGTAGCTCGAGCTATTCAAAATTCAATACAAGCAGAATCAGCAACCATTTTTATTTTTGTTGTGCTCAATTCCCAGATGTCAAACAACAATATCATCTCACCGCGTTTCATACCGGATCATCTCTCTCAAGTTTTGTAATTGTTCGTCCTCCGAAAAATAGTATAGTCCATCATTTATCGATTCTTACCGTTTGATTGTTCCATTCTATTTTCAGATTTAAAAGAGTCTTCAAGTCGCACATCTATGAGTACTAACTTGAAGAAATTAGTGTACCATGGCTCGACGACAAACACCGCTGTTTTCAGAAGGTTTTTCAATAAGGAATTCCATGTTACCGATGATTATAATTTTCAAATTTAAGCAAGCGGATGGCAGACTTAATTTTTAAATCAGTCCAATCGCTTATCATTATTTATTATTGCTCTCCCATTTTACTGACTACAGTTTTTGTTTGCTATAAATTTTGACCAAACTGTTACAAAAATATGCATCAATATTTTTAAAGCCGTGCCATGTGATTGGGTATTCAGGTTTTTTTTTTATAACAGTAGCGGTGAAACCATAGAGGTAACTCTAAGACCAGAAGGTCCCGAAGAAACGTGCTCAACTTTATGGCTCAGCTCTTCGGTCTCTCTTCGGTCCCTAGCTAATCGATGCACCCCTCGAAACATGGGAAAATCCACGAACCCCTCATTTTATCTGTCAAAACTTTCAAAGCTAATCAAACCAAACATAGTGTAGTACTAGAATTTTGTCTAGAATGGGATACGTTAATCTATTTGCTTGGGCCAGTCAAGTAGTGAACCAATTTTAAATCGATAGTTTCGTATTGATTGTTGGTGAAAGTGCCATACCAGACGGTATACTATAGGCAGCCTTGCTGATAGGATAGAAACTGTATCATCAACCGTCTCCGGAATCGGTTCCGGAACCTCACCACAAGTACTCGTTGGGTTGCCATCGATGTTTATTCAAACTGATGACAGTTGACCTGCTTTCACTTGCTGACTTCTTTGATCGCTTTTGAGTAATTATGAGTACCTCAAATTTACTCGATTTATAAATATAAGCTCAGAGTACAGCTGGCTTGCTCCTAGTGCTAAAAAACAGAAACAGTTTCGTCATCTAAAGGACAAAGGCAAACCGTTCCGAACGAATTCGATAGCGAAGAAACCAATCTCAAAAAGATATTTGCGCATTCGATTATTTTCCTGTGCGGTGTCATTCTACTTTTGCTCAGAGCACAGCACTGCTGTATTTGTCCCTTCGCGCTAACTTGAAAGTACCCATTAAATGAGTATCTTGTACTCATGCATTAATAAATCAATGCAAAACGTCACGGCATACTCGTGTTTTCGCTGCATCGAAGTAAACAGAGCAAATTTAAATTTACTCCAAAAGCATTAAACAAACTGAACGGTAAGGATTTTTGCCGTTCCAAGAAGGAGCTCAATATAACTTTCATTTATGGCTATGAGGGCTCACAGAATTCTGACAGAGTTGCCAGTCATCTTGATTAAAGAGTCTGAATTTATATTCAGGCTCTTTAATCTTGATTTGTTGTTTGGGGAAAAAGTTAACCAGTGTCAAATAATATGATCGATATTTTCCAACTACCTATAACCAACAATCAATACGAAACTAACGATTTTAAATTGCCTCACTACTTGACTAGCCTATTGGTCCCAAGCAAATCGACTAGCGTATCCCATTATAGTATACATTCCAGTACTACACTATATTTGTTTTGATTCACTATGAAAGTTTGACAGATAAAATGAGGGGTTAGTGGATTTTCCTATGTTTCGAGGGGTGAATCGATCAGCTTGGGACCGAAGATAGTACCAGAGCTGAGCCAAAATGTTGAACTCGTTTCTTCGGGACCTTCTGGTCTTAGAGTTACCTCTATGCTATAACCATAGAGGTACTTATAAGACTAGTAGGTCCCGAAGAAACGTGCTCAACTTTTTGGCTCAGCTCTGGTACTATCTTCGGTGCCAAGCTAATCGATGCACCCCTCGAAACATAGGAAAATCCACGAACCCCTCATTTTATCTCTCAAACTTTCATAGCCAATCAAAACAAACATTGTGTAGTACTAGAATTTCGACTAGAATGGGGTACGTTAATCGATTTGCTGGGGACCAATAGGCTAGTCAAGTAGTGAGCCAATTTAAAATCGATAGTTTCGTATTGATTGTTGCTATAACGGTTAGAATCTACCCACTTCGGTCAAAACTTAACTCACTCAAAAATGTGCATTCTAAGCCAGAAGATTTACAACAGGGCCGATGGACACCGTTTATCAGAGCTTTCTATCGAAAAAATCTACCCGTTTTGGGTTTGGTTTACTTTTGATCACACTAAGTAGGTGGAAACGTTTTATAACACTGAGCCGAACCCATAAGACATAAAACCGCAGAGAACAGACATTCAAGCTTAAACTAGTATTTCGAAAAATTAAATTAAAATATGCTAGAAACACTAGCGCCGCCATAAGAAATGTTGCGACTCGAGTTATCTTTTTTTTTTGGGATTAATGAGTAACTGAACTAAAATTTGGGTTGATCTTATTGATCGTGTATCCAAATGAACTGTCAAATCAGTTCAAAACAAACAAGAAAAAACAACGGAAATCAATCAAGTTTCTGCGGAACCATTATTTTCGAATAAAAAACTAAGCTCTTTTACAGTTTGCCGTAGATCTACCGTATGCATGTTTACCGTCGATCCCGTATAAAATTCCAGAACCGACCGGTATATTAGTTCTCTTCCGGTAAAAGACGTGGCCGACGAGCACAAGAACGTGTATCTGACCAAGCATCCTGCTAGCGTTATGGTGTTTGGATTGGTGGCTTCCGATGGCAAAAAATGGACCCGATGTTCATTCCAGAAGGCGACAAGGTCAACACGGAGGTCTACATCGGGATTTTAAGTATGTTCTTCCGTGGATCAAAGAACAGTACGGTCCGAAGCCAAATGTTGTATTTCAACAAGATGGGGCTCCGTGCCATACCTCGAACCGCACTCAGAAGTGGTTGCAGGAACATCTTCCGTTCTGGGCGAAGGATATGTGGCCGCCATCCAGCCCCGATCTTAATCCGCTGTATAACTCAATATGGCGCGTCATGAAGGCCAAGGCCTGTTCTAAACGCCACCCGAGTACAGCAAGCCTCAGACAAACATTGACCCGTAGCTGGAGAGAAATGGATCCAGACTACATTATTAGAACCTGCCGTGCATTCCGGAAGCGTGTGGAGGCCGTAATTGCAGCAAGTGGAAACCCTAATAACCGGGTATCATACACTAACGCTATCATAGATGGTACGACCATACCACATAAAGTTGGGATGATATCCCGAATTGGTGGTTAGGCGCTTCTTATGGTTATTGTTTATGCGGGAACTTGCTCACAACAATTTTGACATTTATGTTCATCGACGTCGATGGACAACGACACTAGCGCCACCACGATATTGCTAGTCTATTCAAAAAAGCAGTTAAATTTCTTACACACTTCAGGAATTTGACTTGGATGTCTGTTCTCTGTGAAAAAACTCTTGGGGCATTCGTGATTTTTTTCGGAGATGAGATTTGAGCTCGTGACTTTGACGTGATAGGTAAGGATGTTAACCACTACGCCTGGGCCATCCCCGTAAGACATGACTTGTGGACCTGAATAATTTTAATTTCATAAGACACTTTTATGATGTTCATAACTCATGCTTCGTTTCACCCTAGGGGGATCACCCTATGGGGAGACAACTGGGGTATAGATTTGGATCCAGTCGCTAATTGATTGATTTTTGACTTCAAGATTGTTTTTTTTTTGTTTTAGATGTGCTCAATATTACTGTCAGAACTGTTTGTGTTGATTTAGCACGGATAATGTTCAACAGGGACTGCAGGAGCGAATGAAGAATAAAAAGAAGCCAGATGTCCTGTCTGGTCTTAGGTTTCACCTTGCAGTTACACTATAGTCGCTATATTTATAGTCTGGGGGATAGAATTTTGTTCCATCGAAAAGCGGAACCAATTCAATGTATTGTAGATCAACATTTGAAAAGGTACTATCAACTTTTATAAACAAAACGTTGATTATTCTTTCCTCGCCAATCGAACGCAAATTATCGCAGCATCCTCGGCAGCATCATCGGATAGGGGAAACTTTCCCCAACCCAAAGATGGTGTTACTTAGTGTAGGCGAGCCTTGAGTCACGAGAAAACGGTTTCCGAAGTTTTGTTCGCAATAGCTGATGTGCTCTTTTATGTTGTTGGTCGTGATTTGCTCGATTGGTTCCGCTATTTGACAGCTCAATTGGTTCCCGAGATTCTATCCGCCAGACTATGAATATAGCGACCACAGACAAACATACATAACACATTGAATATTTCTCACTGTAAAAAATCGTCGCTGAAACATTATCGCCATCTGTTGAGCACACTGTGGTGGGTAGTACGCTGAACAGATGGCAGTAGTGTGTAAACGTCATACGCAAGGGAATTGACTGTGTGCGCCACAGGTACACCCGTTATAAGGACCATTACTTTTTTTCAAGTTTCATAAGATAAATTTTGAATTCTGTTTCGTAAGCCAAACTTGATTTCCATAAGAAATCCTTTTGTCGAAAATTGATCAGTGGTACTTATGGAATTCTTTCGTTCTTTTACCTCAGTGAACAGCTAGTGTGAACAAATGTTATGGACACAAGCATCTTATCAACATACCCGACCATTTCCATTAACTGAACTGATCCGTAAAAACCAAAATAGATCCAATTGTTCCACTCAGTTCTACTGCTAACCAACCGCCGTCCGTCCTATACACATTATTCAACCTCTTCATTTCCTAATTCCTGATGATGGTGATTGAACGAAAAAAAAAGCCCTAAGGCAGTTCCAAAAACGAGAGAAAAAAAAACAATCATAATCGTTCTTCCAAACATCTTCGTGGTTTGCCAAAGCGTTTTACATTCGTGTCGACATTTATTTTCATTTTGCCCTTATTTCTTCCCTAATTTCTCCAACTTCTCACTTCCTTTGTTTTCGCCTACAGATATATATATAAATATAAAATATGCACAAAAATATATTATTGTTTTCAGTATTTCCCACTCGGTTGCTCGGTTTAGTACTAAACGCTGCTCTCTCACGTCCCCCCGCGCCTTAGATAACACTACCAAATACTATTTACAGAATAAACAAGAACTGATCACTCGCTTAATTTGTATTTGAGCTTTTCTCCGCTCGCTTTTCACGCCTTCGCCAAATTTTGTGTTGCGGGAGTCCAAGTGTTAAAAACAGGAAACGTTCACACACGCAAAACCGAAAAACTCTATTGATGCTTTAAGTTGTAATAAGTTTGATAATTCTCCCTTCCTCAACTTAAGAAGGTTGGGGGGGCGGCGCACTCAAATAGTATAAATGTGTGAGATCTTTAAATGTATTGTTTTTAATTATTTTACTTCGACTGTGTTTGAGTGTATTTGTAATTTGCCTGCTGTTTTTTTTTTTTTCGTTTCGTCTGGTTATTTTCATTTGTTTACACTGACTCATGCTCACCAAAATACGTGAAAAAAAAATTGATTAGAAAGATATACGTTAAACCACTAACGACTATTACCTAGGTAGTAGATAAAATAATCACATTCAGTAAATAATTTCCCTCCCTCGATCTCTTTCTCGCTCCTATGACGTCCTTACTGTTTGCAAAACCTAAAAAGCCATTCCCCGTGTCACTTATTTCGATGGGACCAAATCCTAAACGCTATCTGAGTTGTATAGGTTAATTAGATGACGGACATTCTAAGCCATAATTTACCTTCTCCCTTCCTCTATCGATTACTCTTACTAGTAGAATATACCCAAACACGTTTTGCATATTTCATGTCTCTAGTTCTGCATTACAATGAACGTATGTGTATGAAGGTGGATTATAATTGTATTACGCGCGCAAAACGTGTGATTTGTAATATGATAACAAATATTAGGAAACTCAACATCTATAACTCCTTGCCTAATCTCTCGTTCTCTCTAGTCTTCGATTATGAATGCATTTGTACAAAGAAAAGACCACACAAAGAAACCCTCCTAACGACAAAGCATTTTGTATACACATCCGCGATAAGGCAATTGAGACAGAATGCAATCGAATTAAAAAAAGAAAAAACTTGATTCGTCTCGTGTCTCGGGGAAAATTTACAAAGCCATATCTTACCCTCTAGCTCTTAATTCGAGCGACTACTAAAAGCGACAACTGCTGCGGCCTTCCCTCCTTCTTCTACAGCGCCATTAATTCCCCTCTTTTGTATGTTTAAAAGAAAAATGACGAAAATTCACCGTGGATACCCCTGAACCGCAAGCCACACGTCAAGGGGTATTTCCCAACCAAATACCAAGTCATCTTCGGGAAGAATGTAGCTCCTACTGCTACCTTGCCTTGTATCCGTTGCACTAGTCTACTCGCCGAACCAGTAGTGTTTGTTGGCAATCTGAGCCGGACTAAGCGGACCAAACTGGCTGTACTGCGTCGGGAACTGGATGTGCGCCGGAAGCGGATGCGCCGGAAGAACCTGTGTGGAAAAGAGAAGGCAGTTAGTGGTGGGCGTTATGTTGGAAATTTGAACCAATATTAACCATACAAGTTAGGCAGCTTACTGAGAGAGTCACTATTACCAAAGACAACATACCAAGCAGACTGGCAACTCTTCCATTTTTTCGGACACCGCTATGAGACAGGTACAATTGCGTCATCTGCCGCTCAAAGGTAAATGCTTCGAACAAATTTGATAGCAAATATTACATCCTAAGAAGAAAGGTTTGTGTATTTGCTCATTCCTCTATGCGTTGCTTCCACCTTCGCTCAAGCGCAGCGCTACTGTATCTGTCGCTTGGATTCTGGCAAAGTTGACAGTCTTCTTGATTTGTTGTCTTCGCTTTTACTCTTGTTGTAAGGGGAAACATCGTTAAGATCGTTTATGATTCGGTACACTATTTGCCACTCCATTTGGTGGCCAGTGGTGGACAAGAAAACCAACCGGTACACACATGTACTGGTACGATCCTCAAAATCGCAACACGTGTGAACGAATGGTGCACGCACACAGTGTAAAGTTTTCATTTCGTTTACACGATAAACGAAACTGGAACCAAAACCGGGCCTCGGTTTAGAAAACACAACCGAATCCATCAGCACCGTTTGCACGTCTTTCTTCTTCTTCGCATTTCAAGCTTATTGCATATCGCATATTAGCTTATTGCGTGCTCTCAACTTAGTGTTCTAGATGCACTTCCACAGTTATTAATTGAGAGCTTTCGATGCCTGTACCATTTTTGAATTGGTGTAATTGTGTGGCAAGTCCAATCATACTTCTATGCCCAGGGAAGTCGAGAAATTTTCCAACCCGAAAAATTCCTAGACCGGACCGGGAATTGAACCCAGCCACCTCCAGCATGGTCTTGCTTCAAACCTGGTTTTTGCTGAACATGGTTAAACGGTTGGACGAAGAAGCTGTAAATGGAGGTGCAGTGCTGCCGAATGTGCAAGTGAATTAAAGCTTACAGTACGTTCAGACTACAGAGTTATAACATGTTATAGCGCTATCTTGAGGGTGGTTTCTGTGTTGCAATTATTTGACAACCGTTATAACATGTTAACTCTCCAGTCTGGACAGCGTTTTAGATGATCAAAATTCAAAGTGACAAACTATCAAATACCCCACAATATGGGTATTTTTGGAATCGTGGTGACATGTAGGGACAGAAAATCGATGTCTGACGCCATATAGAAATCCAAGATTGCGGCTTCTGGTTAGATAAAAACTGAAAAATACTGTCAAATACCCCACAATATGGGTATTTTTGGAATCGGGATGACGTGTAGGAACCGGAAATTGACGTATGAAGCCATTTCAAAATCCAAAATGGCGGCTTCCGGTTGGAGAAAAACTTGGAAATACTGTTAAATAGTACCCCACAATATGGGTATTTTTGGAATCGTGATAACATACAGGGACCGGAAATCGATGTCTGACGCCATTTTTAAATTTAAGTTGGCGGCTTTCGGTTGGAGAAAAACTTGGAAATACTGTCAAATACCCCACAATATGGGTATTTTTGGAATCAGGATGACGTGAAGAGACCGGAAATCGATGTCTGACACCATTTTTAAATCCAAGATGGCGACTTCCGACGAGAAGAAATCTGGGCAATACTGTCAAATACCCCACGATATGTGTATTTTTGGAATCGGGATGACGCTTAGGGACCGGAAATCGATGTCTGACACCATTTAGAAATCCAAGATGGCCGCTTCAGGTTAGAGAAAAAACTGGAAAATACTGTCAAATACCCCCCCCCCCAGTTTTTCTCTACCCGGATGTCACCATCTTGGATTTCAAAATGGCATCAGACAGTGATTTCCGGTCCCTACACGTCATCCCGATTCGAAAAATACCCATATTGTGGGGTTACTGTCACAGATTTTCTTCAACCGAAAGTCGCGATCTTGGATTTTGAAATGGTGGCGGTCATAAATTGTTGGTATGGGTTAGATGTTTTGAGATCATTTTAAAATAATTATATTAAATGAAAAAAAAATCTGGCACCACTTGCACGTCCGTAGAACATCAGGGTGTCCATTCAAATCCAATGTTTTAATTCCCGGTTTTTTCCCGGTTAATTAATAATAAACCCAACTCAAACATCACTCCTGCCTTAAACGAAAACGGCGTCCAAAAATAACCGTTTAGAGATAAACATATCATTTTTTCAGCAGAATTGCTCTACAATACGTCTACTTTGAAGAAAAAAAAATATGATATGAGATTTGAATTACTATGTTTATGATCTAGATCTCCAAAATCTCATGGAATCATGAATTCGTATAAAATCAAAGAGTTTCACTGCAAAAATGATCCCAAATCTTGTTTAGGTATGTCGGAAAAAGCAAGATCTGAGCAGGAGAAACGCAGTGTAAAAAGTACTTCAAATCTTCCTGGAGTTACGATCTTAAAGTTCATTTTATAACATTTTGTGCAATACAAAGATGTGTTAACAAAATATTTATCATTCTCCAAATTATCCTGGCGATATTTTAAGTCTTAATCGATGTCCACTCAGAATTTTTGAGCATTTTATGATTCACGGAGACTCATAACATCATTTAAAATTATTAATAGTGTTTAAAAATAACATTATTGGATTATACAAATCATTCCCGACAGGGCGTTGACTCAACGAAGAAAACTAAATTCTTTGATATTCCCTGATTTTCTAGTCTTTTTTTAGAACAAAAAAAAAACGGGTACAGAAAATCAGTAACATTTTTCTAAATTCATAGATTTAAGACATGTTATGAGCCAGGTAAAAAATTAAAGCAGTAACCGTGGCGTTACTTTGATTGATAATGATATGTGAACGAAACTGCAATCATTTTCATATCAATCAGCTTGCTATCTTTCAATCTACAATAAATTAATTTGATCGCCAGAATGTGTTCAACAAGTTCATGATCCCCTTATTTCCTCAATTTACTCCATTCCCTCCCTCCATGTCAATTTACTCACCCTTATTATTTATTATTTAGACTCTTTCTAGACTTTCCGTTAGGAATATTTCTCCGCATATGAAACACTTGTCTTTAATCCCCCTTTATAAAATATATTCCGCTCCCTTTTCATAAAATATATAAACGCTTGATCGCAGCGGGATACCTCCGGTGGATACCATCCCAGCCCAAGTAACATTGCAATTTTTTTGAGGTTTTAAAGCACTCTACAAGTCTAAATCATGGTTTATAGAATCCTCATAAAACCCAAATTATTATAGTTGAAGATGCTAATTTCAAATAACAGACTGTAGTGGTAATTTTTATACGATAGATGGAGTAGATGAAAGCATAGAGTTGATAGTTCCGTTAGAGTACGGCAGTGTGAAGATTACAAATAGATATTAGAATGGCGAGCTAGGACAACTTTTAAGGAAGGTACAAATCGGTTTTTTCATCTCTCTTTACCAAACTCCCCCTTTGGAGAGGGATGGTGAGGGGTGTGTCCCCCCGCCACTACTGGCAAAAGTTGTCCTAGCTCGCTATTCTAATATCTATATGCAATCTTCACACTGCCGTACTCTAACGGAACTATCAACTCTATGCTTTCATCTATTTACTCCATCTATCGTATAAAAATTACCACTACAGTCTGTTATTTGAAATTAGCATTTTCAACTATGTAAATCGTTGAATTCACGTAGAAGTAATACTAAAACATATAGTCAAAGTCCAAATTATTACTTTGGAGGTAACCAGGGTGCCTTCCATTCATTTTGCCGAAAAACATGTTTTATAAAATTACGGAATAATAAGACATTATGATAATATTTTGTACGTGTAAGTAACAAGAAAAGATTGTAAAGTTTATGTTTGACACACAAAACATGCAAATTTAGCTTCAACAGAGTCACAATGAGCGATTTTCTGATCGCCTCTTCGCGAAGAGTGAAGAGCGAAGAGTGGGTGAGATAAATGACAAAATCGCTTATTGCGACGCTAATGTAGCAAAATTGGCAGGTATTATGCGTCAGACACAAACTTCACAATATTTTCTTGTTGCTTACACAAACAAAATATTATCATATAATCTTATTATTCCATAATTTCATAAAACATTTTCTTAGCCAAAATGAATGGAAGGCACCCTGGAGGTAACCAATAAACCCGCAAATTTCGATTGATTTTGCTATACAAAGCTAACATACGACTAATAAAGGGCTTCGGCAAATTATTAGTCAGATTATTATTAACCAGGCTTGTTAATTACTTGGGATTGCCCCCCTCTTTCTTTCCATCAACATAATCGAAAATTTGATATTCAGAGTTGTGCTTTCACAGATTAGAAATTTTGGTCCATGTGACCCTGAGTTATTTAATGATATTCTGCTACTTCAAGCAATCAAAAAATTCCGTCCATCCAAGCAGGATCATAATTCTAAAATTTCATTGGATAGCTTAATGTCTGAATTTATCCGTCTCTTAAGCACACAATGAGGAACTAGAACTACAAGTATTCAGAAATATATCTATTATCATTTTTCCATTCTTGCATTTACTAAAAGACGCGCCAACCCATTTTCGGAGGTTTATTTTTTGTTGGATCGAACTAAACAGCGCCACCCAGCGCCATGAATTTTGCCACAACCAAAAATTCGGTAAATAGATTTTTACCGATCCTCTGTATCCCACTTCAACTCAGGGACGGCCCAAAATCATCAAAATTCAGTTCGCCAAGCAGAATCTAACGAACACTAGCGTGTAAAATCATAGTTCTTACAGTAATGCATCTGTAATTTTGATACTATACATAGGCAGCTGCAGAAGATTATGTTCCTTATTTAACCAATTAAAATAATTCATTTGAGCACCCACAAGCTCACGATTCTATGAAAGATTTTATTAATTTACAAACATCCTAAAACTACACCGAGTATTTAAATTGTATGAGACTAGCAAGATCAGTAATACTGTTCAAAGAGGATTAAGAAATATTTCTCTGATTTCTTAAGAAATTCCCTGTGATTTCCGGATTTTCCAGGACTGAAATGGAATTCCCTGAAATTCCAGGTTATTTTTTTCAGGTAGTCGACACCTTGGCGGATATCTGATCTTGAAGAACTGCAGATTCAACAAGGTGTTGACTGATTCCAAGTAACATTGGAAGTTTTATAAAGGTTTAAATGGTCCTTCAAGACCAAATTTTGGCCTACAAGACTATGATAAAACTATGTTACTTGGGATGATTATTTATAATCTTTCCCGGTGCAATTTGGGTTTTCCCGCATTTCTCCCGGTTTTTTCCCGGCATAAACGGAATTCCCGGTTGGATGGACACCCTGGAATATCGACCCGAAAACAACACAACCGCTACACAACCTTGGTTCGGTTTTGTGTTTTTCATTTTTTACATACCAAACTCGTTTACCGTAAACGAAAACCAAGCATAAAGCGGAGTGTTGTGTATACGAAACACGCGTCTACCAGCATCTAAACCAAGCAGTCGAGAACACATGTTGTGCTTTGGTGAACCGCACCGGTACGCAACCGATTTGTTCCAAACTCTGCGTGGTGGCAAAGAATGTTACTAACATACTCGTTGAAGCTGATCAGATGATGTTTTATCTAACAAAGCAAGAACCATTCTTTACAATTCATGCAATGCAACTTCATCGAAGTCCACGTCATTAACTAGTTGGAGAATCTAGTTAATTGGATGCAATATTCCCATAGTAATAGGAACGCTACATTTCCTCATATAGTTTTGGAAAATCGTTCGAATTGTTTTCCATGCAAAAAGATTTAACATAGGTACTCAAAGAGATATCATCAGAGATCCCTGACGAGGTCGTCTGAACTGTAATCAGAACCGACTTCAATGGAACGGGATTCTCTGTTCGGCATAAATTCATCCATTCGTGATTGTAAACTATCGAGATTAAAGAGTTTCCCAAAAAACACCAAGTTCCGGACGCAGCCAACGAGCGCAATCCTATGTTCAATACTCGTATCTACATTGAACGTCACCCACCTGTCGACTGGAAGCGTTGTGCGCCGGCGGCGGAACCACCCGGTTGTACGTCTGGTACGGTGCCTGCGCCACAAACACCGCCGACCGCCGGTAAATGTCTCCCTGCGCGTAAATGTCCTGCTGCTGCAAGATCGCTCCCGGTGAACTGCCCAACGGTGTATTGGAGCTTTGCTGATGCTGACGGTAGACCGGAGCTCCCCACGAGGAACCACTGCCGCCCGTTGGTGTGTTCTTGGCATGGGCATGTGGTGGAACCGTCACAAGTGTCGAACCACCCATAGGGCCTCCACCCATACCACTGCTGCCTCCCTGATTGGCCGACGAAGACGACGACGATGACGATGGCATGTAGGCGGACGATTCCCGTTTGTGACCGCTGCTGCTGCTATTGTTGTTCCCTCCGTAGTGCGACGACGAACCCGGTGGAGCCCATGAGGAGCGCTTGTCCATCTGGGGATACTCGTAGGCAACAAATTCTGTTGGTTCCTGCTTCGGCACGTGCAACTGGTTGGTGGACGACGACAGCAGGCATTCGTTCTGGGCCATCGCCAGCAGGCGCTTCTTCTGCGATTGACCTGCATGGTGCTCGTACTTTATAGCTGCAATTTAAACCATGAATATTATAAACATTCCACTCGGTGTGGTTGTGTTCAATCCAATCTACTTACTCTGATGCTTAGGCGTATTGCGCCGATCGTTCTCTCCATCACTATCACCGACGGTGACACATGCCGTCGAGGTGGACGCCACAGCCGTACTCTTGCGTTGTCTACTGGACAAAGTTCCCGACTGGTTGTTGCTTCCTCCACCGCACATGCTACTGCTTCCAACCTGACTGCCACTGCTGATCACACTCGTGTGGTGTTGCGACTGCGGTGGCTGTTGCTGCTGCTGCATGTGCGATTGCGGTACCTGCTGCAAGTGATAATGCGAATGGTGATGAGAACTGCTACCACTTGGCGGCGGTGGCTGTTGATTCAGCGCTGCCAATGAAGAAGACGACGACGAATGGTGGATATTAGACGACGACGACGAAGAAGGTTTAACTCCGCAGCTGCTGCTGCTACTGCTGCCATTACCACCCATACTCATATTTGCTCGACATTGATTGCTGGACGAGGAACTGCTATTCGTCGACGGATGACCTCGTATGTGCTGCTGACTGGTCTGGCTTGATCCACACATACCGGTAGACTGATGCTGTTGCGATTTGGAACTGTTAATCAACTGCTTCACATCCGCTGTTTCGTCCTCACTATCCGAGATGGTGATTACCGCCGTCGGAGAAGGAGTATCATGGATCGTGATCGTTTGCTGTTTACTATTGTGGCTGCTACTGTGACTATGGTGTATGTGACCTCCGCTACCGTGATGATTTCCGCTGCTCGATCCATGATGGATGTTACCACTGCCCATCATCATGCCGCTGCTGCTCCCATTGCCTCCGTAAGACGAAGACGAATGGTGAATTTGTACATTGTTCGATCCGCCCAAACCGCTGCCACTGCCACCATTTCCGTTACCGCTACCACCGCCACCCATCGAACCGGAATCGATTTGCTGATAGTGATGGTGATGATGATGGTTACCACTGCTACTGGCCTGTTGCAGCTGGCTAGACTGTGACTGCTGTTGCTGCTGCTGTTGTTGCTGCTGCTGCTGCTGCTGCTGTTGTTGTGACGAATGGTGGTGATGTGGTGGCTGTTGCTGGATTTGTTGCTGTGGGATCTGCAGTTGATTGCTATTGCTGCTGCTGTTGCCGTTATTGCCACCGTTGCCGCCGTGATAGAACGACGACGAAGATGACGACCCACCCGCGTCGTGGTACTGCTGGCACATGTGTGTGTTCCGATTGCTGTTGTACCGCTGTTGATGGGGAGGAGTGTTCTCCTTGACGCGCTTCTTCACCGGCGATAGTTGGTTGTTCTCCTTCTTGTCGTGACGGGAGACGCTGCGAATGGAAAAGGGGGGTGATTAGTAAACTCGCAACATTGGTTCAGTCGTTCTAATGTTCTTGATTTTAGTCTGAGTCAAAAATGTATTCCAGTCTGTAACTAATAGTAATACTCACACCAAGTGATGCACCGGTGATTCCTTCTTCGGCTCCGGGTGCCGGGTCTGGATGTTGAGGTGTGGCTTCGGGTAGATCTCCTCCACGTTGAGAAACGGCGCCGAATCGACGATCAACGAGTGCGGTCCGGTTTGCTGTGACCAGGATGGCACAATCGCCACCTGGCGTCCACTCTGCGGCCAGGCAACGTTCGGTTGAACCGCATTGGTCAGTAGCATGCGCTGACCCGACGACGGTTCGACCATCGAAACAGGAACAGGAACATTGACGTACTGCTGCGGTGGGACTTGTAGGGGCGGTTGCATTGAAGTGCCCCCGACCACGACGTGCTTCGTCGGACTGGGCATCGTTTGGTACCCGGGCGGACACAGGATGCTGGACACCAGCTGGTGCTGGAATGCATCCGGCCGTCCGTTACTGTACTGACCGCCGACGTTTCGGCCGCGGTAGATCTGATACAGATGGTTGTCGTAGGTGGGACCACGCTCCCGTACGATCCGCTGCACCTGATTGTTGAACGTGATGGTCATGTTCTCGGTGGCGTTCGGAACAAAGTTCGTCACCAAGGTGGCCGTTGTGGGTTGAACGCTTAAATTGTAACTGTATGTTAGGGAGAGATAATAGAGAAAAGACACAACCATTGTAGACGCCGACGAGTAACAAAAAAAGATGATTGAGACAAACAACACCATTTAGAGAGTGTGTGTGTGTGTGTGCAGAGGCCAAACAACAGAGAGAATACATACGTGTGGATCATTGAGTCCGTCCTTCGGCACACCTCCATCATCTGGACGGACGCTTTGACGTTGTTGCAGTGGGCATAATCCACCAGATGGGCCAACGTGGTGAAGGGATGGTTCAGCGCTTCGCCCGGTGTTATCCTTCGTTCCTGGTCGATGGTGAGCATCCGCTTGAGGAGATCGATGAATTCCCGTCGGTCAGTCTTTTCCGCCAGCAGCTGGCCACCCTCGATGTCGGTCGGCACATTCACCTGCCCGATGTCGTCCAGGCAGTTGAAGATGTACTTGCGAGCCTCCTTGCTTTTGTTGTTGGTTTCCGCCTCGTGCTCTTCAGGCGTTTTCAACCGCCAGAAGGGATAGGTGGAATCGACATCCCGGTAGAAAAATTTGGCCGTCTTGCTGGCACTGTTCAGCATGTGCTCGGTTGGGAGACCCTGTGTCTGCGATATGTACCTGCAACGTATACGAAATTAGTAAAAAGGCCATTCGTGATTGGATTGAAGATTTATTTACCTGATTTGATCATATTCAGAGGAGCCCGGATACAGGGGCCATCCGAGGAACAGCTCCGCCACGACACAGCCGAGGGACCACATGTCGATGGCCTCGCAGAACGGCAACCCGAGGATGATCTCCGGCGCCCGATAGTAGCGCGACTGCAGGTACGTATTGCACACCGTTTTGCTGACGTGAGACGCCGAACCGAAATCAATCACCTTTACCCTACATTTTTGCCATGTTTAAAAAAAAGCGATCATAAAACGAGGGAGATAGAGAGAAAGTGGGAATTAGAACGGATATAGTATTTCATTGAGGCCGCGCGGCATAATTCCCCCCAAACACGGAAGTGTCGATGAACACACTCACCTGTACGGTTGCCTAACCGGGTCGACCAGCATAATGTTTTCGGGTTTCAGATCAGCGTGAATTAAACCGAGTTGTTTCAATTTTAACAACGCCGTTAAAACCTACAATTAGAGAGGAAGCGAGAAAGAAAAAGAAAACAGGTTAGAATGGGTTTTGTGTTTTATGAATGCAGATAGCGCGGCGTCGGCGGTTCAAAAAGAAAGGTTCCACGACTAAATAGGGCGGATGGTGATGATGTTGGGCAGTGATTACCCGAATTAAATTTATTTACACTCCCTGTTCAGATCCAAAAACCGCTAACTAATGATTTTCGATGCGTATGCTTAGTGGAAATCATGTTGAAATTCGTATTATGCTTAGATTTTAATTTGTGACTGCATTACCCACTTAGCAATGGATTTGAATATCAAAAACGGAATGAATTAATGCGTGATGCTTTTGTCTAATAAGCTGTAGCTCTCAGTGCCACGCTCTCATTGTTCCGCGGTGAGGTGAACTCGTTTTTCACCAGCAGCTTTGTTTGGATAGTCTAACCGTAATTACAATGAAGCAAGAGCTTCGATCTCGTTGAAGGGTTTCCCTTTTATTAAATGGGTCGTAGCTGAATCTGCCCGGTGCTATTGCTATGACATTGTATAGTCTAGTGACGGCAAGCGCTGTAACAGTATTAGGTACACAGTAACTTAAAAACTAAGCTCGAGATTCCAAATGGGGCAAAGAATCAATGTTAATTAGCAAAACCCGGACGTGTAAGTGTGTCTAAAAATAAAATGTATATTTTTGCCTTCCTGATACAGGGGTTTCTTCCATGAATCTGACAGATAATTTCATAGCATCTTTTACCAGATGTATTGTTACATCCAGCGTTGCGTATTCCGTTTATAGGGTTTCCATAATAAGCTTATTTTAGAAATACTAAATAGGGAAGATGTCCCTAATTTGGGTCTAATAAGCAGCCATCATGCTTTATTCTTATTCTAAGAAATAATAAACCACCAGGCGATATTACACTGTCAACATACAAGCTAATATAAGCATTGCATTTCGTTAACAATTGGACACGATTTTTCCGGAAGGAAACTTAAAAACAATCCCTGACGTAATATTCAGTTATACACACTTAGATTATTCTACCGAAATCTGTGAAATTTTACCGAAATCTCAACAGCTGAACGTTCGGTAAACAGTTCGGTGAATTTTCACAGATTTCCTGTAATTACTCACAGATATTCGGTGAACAATTACAGGATATCTGTGAAAAATCACTGAACTGTTTACCGAACGTTCAGCTGTTGAGATTTCGGTAAAATTTCACAGATTTCGGTGAAATAATCTTAGTGTGTAGGCGAAGTAGAAAATATATTAATTTAGATGAATATACTTTTAACTTCAAAAAAAATCTTCTAGTCTACAGGGCTGGTAGTGCTGATACGATATAATAGTAGTGACTTTAGTGACAAAAAATACGGTAATAGTGACCAAATAGTGACTTGTAAATACTAAATAAGTAACCATTTATATAGAAACGGTTTGATATTGAAATAAACTTTTAACGTCATGGAACTTAAAATCAAATTTCATAAATTTCTCTAGTTTAATAGAATCTCACAACGGAATCTCCTGTGAAGAGCATTTGAAGTGATTTGAATAATTTACTTTTGCTTACGTTATACATCAGGCATAACATTTGATAACGGCACAAAAGCATTTGAAAACAAACTTTCTAAGGCCCTTTACACGTGAACCAAAGTACGCTATCGCAAACCAACAACATCATCGGATAGGGGCAACTATCACCTTTCCGAAAGTGGTATTGGTTTGCGTGGGCGTACTTTGGTTTACGTGTAAAGGGCCTTAGAAAGTTTGTTTACAAATGCTTTTGTGCCGTTATCAAATGTTATGCCTGACATGATGACTAGCAAATAGTAATTCCCATTTTTTATGATCTTGAATTTGATACTGCGTTCGAAATCTTTAAATATTTGTTATATCTAGGTAGATAACTTTGATAATTTGCTATGAACTTTTCACAGAATGTGTTCGGAATGATCTCAAGAACTTTATTAGAACAATTCCCCTTCTGTTAAACTTAGAGGCAAATAAGCTTTTGCAAACATAATATTGCATTCTTGAAATTCTTTGCAGAACAATCAACACAATTCTTGGAAATAGATTATTTTCGTAGTTGGAAACGCTTTACATCAAATATCAGAACTAAAGTGGACATTTTCTACGATAGATGAGGAGATGAAACTAAAGAGTTGATAGTTCCGTTATAGTGTGGCAGTGTGAAATTTGTATATAGAAAGTAGAAAGCGAACAAAGGATAATTTTGAGGAAGGTACGAATAGGGTAGAGCGTCTCCTTTACCAAGCTCATCCGTTAATGAGGGATGGTGAGGGGTGTTTCCCTTGCCACCACTGGCAAAAGGGATTACCTCTGATGTGCGGAAACAGTTCTATTGATTGTTTCACACTTCTTTCCCTCACATTCTAAACAACTATCCGATTAGTACCTTCCTCAAAATTGTCCTTTGCTCGCTTTCTACTTTGTATAAACAATTTTCACACTGCCGTACTATTTAAGTCTGATATTTGACGTTAAGCATCTCCAACTATGTAAATCGTTAAATTCACGCATTAAGTAATAACACATGATTAGTAGAAGTAGATTATTTTCGATTTTTATTGATTCTTTTAGAAACTCCCTGAAGACTCCTTCCATAAATCCATCCTTAGAATTTCCATGCAATTAACCTCAGAAGTTTCATAAATTTCTGCTTGTAATCTTGGACTTCTCCCTTGCATTCAATTGGAAATTCAATTTGTATTCTCCTTAGAATCCCCATAGGATTTCCTCAGAATTCTCAAAACAAAAATCCATCACAAACTTTGAAACCCTTTTCAGAATTCCTTTGAGATTGAACCCTCAAAATTCGAGTCCATTGGAATTCTTCTCGAAATTTATTTCGAACTCTTTAGAATTCTCTTGGATGTATCGTCAGAAATCACCCCAGAATTCTTTTGGAATTATCCGCAGAGACCATCTTTGGAGTTCACGGGATTTTCATGGAATTTTCATCAGAGCCTCTTAAGCAAAATTTCAGAACTAATGTTGGAATTAGAATTCTACCTAGAATCCTCATCCAATCATCATAGAGTTCTTCTCAGAACTCTCGTTAAAACGCACTCTCAATTATATTAAAATTATTTCCGAAATTGTTTCGGAGCTGAATTTTGCGTCTCTAATAATTTAAACAATAATCAAAAGCGACGCTCGTACGTGCTGAACCAAGTTTAACAATATAGGTAAACCTGGCTTAACATTTAAGCAGAGATGAAGAAATCGGTCCTCAGCACACTTAATTTTACATGAGACTTTCGTAGTCTGTACTTTGGTATTCTTCTCTGATAAATCTTGGTGTCATCCCTAGAATCCTTCAAAATTCTCTTTTAAATCGAAATTGAACGCATTTCCCAATAGTTTTCCTGGTGTTCTAACGTTTTGCGGTTCACTGGTCACCCTGGTTAAAATTTTCAATTTTTTAACAGATATGCATATTTTGTTAAAACTACTGTAGACTTTCTTAGTGCCAAGTACTCAAATTAAACATTTTGTGAAAAAGTGACTTTAGTGATTATTTGATCTAAAAGGGAAAGGAGGGGCGAAATAGGATCCTAACAAACTTTGTTCGACCACTATAACTAAGGCTAAGACTTCCTGCTTGCTGTCTCAAAGTTACCAGGAACGGCTATTTTTCCTATCAAGATTAAGCACTAGGGCTTTTGATCTAATTTCCGTCCTAGTAAGCGCAACCCGCGCTTTACCTCTCTTTTCTGAACGAGTTTAAACAAAAAATGGAATATTTATGTCAAAAATGACTTTTAAATTTATTCACCTTTCTATATGTACCGTTGGATTTGATAAAGATTCACAAATTGTTGAGATATTGTCTAAAAACTAATACTGCTTATTGATTCTAAATTCGTTCTACGAGTTTCAATTCCGTCCTAACGCATTGAAACGCCATTAGATTTTCTTCGTCCTACGAATAAACGTAGAAAAAGGGGATTCGCTAGGAGCGCTTCTTTTATTTTGAGAACAATGAGCATTAATATTCATACAATGCGCTCTAACAGGATTTATGTTGTTGTAGCTAATGAACTAACGTATCGGAACAAACCTATTATTGATTTGTGCATGGTGAAATCATTGATATTATTGATCTTTTCTGATCGATAAAACGGAAATGGGCGATTACGACGAAGTAGTGCTCTACCCTATTTACAAACGAAAGTATTCGTTTGGACCTATTTTACGTAGGGATAGTTTTCTAGTTTTGACAATAGTGGTCCAGTTTTCAAATTTGAAATATATTTTCAAATTAAACATACTTTTGAACCTCGTAAAAAAAATAATAATACAAAAATGTGTAATTTTAACCTGATGAATGTGGGAATTTAATATAGGGTCAATTCGAGCACTACAAGGGCCTTAATCTGGCACACTTACCCTAGTTTTATTTCTTGCTTCTTCAGAAAAAAATCGACTTTTTTTTTAATGTAAACGTTAATATCCATCAACAGAATATTTCGTGCCGAAATCATAACATTCATAAATTGACTTACTAAAAGCACAGTGAAAAATATTACTGGTTAATGACGCTTTTTATTTGCTTCCAGGGCTGGTAGCCATCACTGCCGTCAAAAATAGTGATTTTAGTGACAATGATAAAGAAATAAGTGACTAAATAGTGACTTATAGTTGTAAAAATAGTGACCAAAAAGTGACCATGAATTGAATTAAAAGTAAATTTTATTTAAAACTCTTAGGAATTTCTGAGGAGCACAACTCCTGTGAACTTCAAAGGAAACAAGTGGTAGAAAACAAATACGGAGCATAAGTCCTGGGATTTTTTTTAAATACTAAAAGACGGATTACAATTAAATCTGAGAATAACTCCAGGACATGTTCAAAGGAATTCGGAAAATAAATTCAGGAGAGTTAGCCAAACAAATTAGAGAAGAAATCTAAGGAATTTGTGAGTAGAAATGCCAATGATTTCTTAGGAGACTTTCAATGTGAGTAGAATTACAAAGGA